TAATTACATATAATTACAATATAATATTATAATAATATTAATCATATTATTATTATTATTATATTGTAATAATAATAGTCTTCTTAATAATTGCATTTATATTACTATTATTATATTAAAATATTATAACTATATTAATATCTTATTTTTTTTCATATTATTATTAATATTATTAATAATAATTATATAATAATAATCATAATAGTAATAACAATATTAATAATAATAATTAATATAATAATAAAAGTGATAAATCATGTTTGAACTTTTCTGATCTGATCTGATCTGAATGTTTCTGATCTGATCTGAATGTTTCTGATCTGGTCTGATCTGATCTGAATCTTTCTGATCTGATCTGAATCTTTCTGATCTGATCTGATCTGATCTGAATCTCTCTGATCTGATCTGATCTGATCTGATCTGAATAAAATAAGAATAAGTAATAAGTAATAAGAATAAGACGAACAGAACAGCACCTTAGTAGGGTTACATTCAGTAAAACTAACGGTGCGCTAAGCAATGCCCAATTAAAAGGTCACGAGTCATATTAAAATGGGCTGCATCCAAGGTCCATCACGCAAGAAATAAAATAGCAGGCCTCTTCACAAAGACCCAAACAGCAAACCCCCCTGCTTTACAAACCCTAGGAATATATAACCCCTTGGAGTCTTTGATTGGAGGTTAGGGTTTTCCGCATCCACGAAGCAATGGTAAATCTCTTCTAACATTGCTAATGTATAGATTACGTACAGGATCGGATGTCTTATGATGATGAAATTTACAGGGAAAGGGAACAGGGAGTTTCGGTAAGAGGAGGAACAAGACTCACACTCTCTGTGTGAGGTGTGGTCGCCGGAGCTTCCATCTGCAGAAGAGCCGATGCTCCGCCTGTGCTTACCCTGCTGCTCGCACTCGAAAGTGTATTGCCTTCCTATCTGTTCTACTAATTTTGCTGTTTTAATGATTTTTGTTCAATTTTTTGATTAATCGGCGATAATGATTCAGTAAATGTTGAATGGGTACGGTTTTCAAAATCATGTCCTGGTGAAGTGGTGATTCGGTTCGAAAGGCTGTAGGATGGCCATCCATAATATGCAAAAAGAAAAACTTCCTCGCGGAGGACCAAAAATCATGTGTGGTCTTCAATTAAAAAATTACTGGGATATATCAAAATGAGAGTGCTGAGAAAGGGTGAATGAAAGAAACATAAAATCAAAGTACTCCGGGTATTATATTGACTATTGATGTCATATACCCCCTTTGTAACATTGGCACCGTTATTAATTTTTATAGATTATGAATTTAATTATTACAATTTGCCAATGTTTGTGACTTTTAAGGCCAACAATATTCAATGTAAATATATGTATATTTCAAGGATCTAAACTTGTGTAATTAAGTTCAAGTATATAACTTTTGCTAAACCCGCAAATTCATATTTATAACTCTAATTTAGAGTGACAATTTTGAAGTTGTATTTTAGCCATCTTGATCGTAAACTTTTTTTTCATTGTTTCATAAATCTAGTCATAGTTGAAATGTCAATTATTCCAAACAGCAATTAACCGAAGGGATTTAATGTTAAATTATCGTGTTCAGTTTAATGGTCATTAATTCTGATTTCTTCTCTAAATATATGCTTTAGACAATTGGAGTGCAAAGGCGATCCGTAGAAAGACCACCGGAACTGGCCGCATGAGGTATCTCCGTAACGTTCCCCGCCGTTTCAAGAGCAACTTCAGAGAAGGTGTGTTTGCTAATGATCTTAATTTGAAATCCATTTTCTATTAATTTTGCTGATTAAGTTAAACGTGTTATACTGTATTAGGTACTCAAGCAGCTCCAAGGAACAAGGCTGCAGCATTGTCCTCTTGAGTGTGAAAGTCTTTTGAGACGGAATTTTGTGAGGGTTGGTTATATTGTATCATTTCGTTTTGTTATTTTGAAGTATTAGAACAATTTAATTTATGGCGAATCTAATTATTTCAAAGCTACTTCAAAGACTTGTTGATTAATGAATGAAAACCCCTATTTAGCATTTCAATTGCTTCAATCTCTTGTGTTCATAATGTGTGTTTTGGACCAATGAGGCAGAGATTTTTATGTCGGAAGCCCCTTCGTTACTTTTGCTTGATCATATAATCTATTTCTCTTATATAGTAGGCGTGAATGGTAGTTGCACCAGATCTTATTTTCTCATTCAGTATAAACCATTGAAGCTGAGATTTTTATTTATAGTGTTGCTTTGTCAGGGCATTTATGTTTTATTATACTAGTGGTCTTAGGTTGAATTGTCAAATTCCAGCTTGAATACTAGATATTGTTATAATATGTACAACCTTAAGAGTGTGAACCCTCTGGGTAAAGAATGATTACCTTAGTAATATGTAGAATGTAATGTCGGATTACCTTTAGTTTGTGTTTCAAGATGTTCCAAGGAAAAAGTCTGAGAATGACCTGTTTTGTTTGTAAAATTGGTTTTCTTAGTGTGTACATTGCCATATTGGTGGTATGTTACAATAATGAATTTTTGATGTTCATCCTAGTAATAAAGTTGTGACATTAGGAATTAGGATGTTAGATCACTCCTTGAGTTTTCGTATGGACCACTTCGATTTGTTTTTTTTGCTGACTTATATTAAATTTCTAGCTTTCAATTACGCTTTATGTTTCTGTAGACTAAGCAAAAGTTTGTTCCTTAACCATCAGTTTTAATTGGTTAAAAGCCTGATCGTCCTGAATTTGAGTGTTGAATTTTGAAAGTCCAGAATAAGTTCAAAATCAGACACTGTCCGCCACTCCGCCCTCATATGCAAGTATGAACTGCAGAACCCACTCTACGGAGATCCAACTGATTTGTGTCTTACGATTAGATGTGGATCCTGACTAGTGCTCAAACTCAGCAAATAAAGTCAGACCAGTTGATATGATTCTTTTTGTTCTGGACTGAAACTGGTTTCAACATGTTCCAGTTCCAAGTCTCTTAAAAATAGGACCAGTACTTGTGATTCTTTATATTTTAAAATAGCCTAAGGACCTGGAATCGATTTAGAGTTAAAACCGTAAGTCTAACCCATTTTCCAGCATTAAATTCCGGTTTATCTTCCCCCACTTGAAACCAAAAATTGAATTGGCTTAGGTCCATGCCCACTTTCAATGACTGGAGTAAGTCAAACTGCTCTTGCACCACCCGACCAGGCACAGAAATGAACCGCTCATATGCATATCAAATATCTAAATACCATTCAAGAATGAATATTGTTTTAGCTAAAAAGCCACCGTATAGTCGTAGTTCTCGTTTAGTTGAATCAACTAATGACCCTAACGGGAATTATCACAATAGAAATTGTTGTGTTAAGTTGAAAACCTAACACAAAAAACTATGCAGAAATTATGCCAGTCCCTACATGGCTACATAACCTAGGGTGACTAACAACAAAAAACTAACTACTCCATGAAATATAATCTTAAGTTCATAACTCAATATTTTATCCATTTTGTGCCACCTCTCCTAACCCTTGAAATGCCCTCATGAACTGCCTAAAAACAAATGGAGTTTCTTGTTCTCCACATCCAATATATGGTATAGCAAAAAGATATCCTCACGGCTTTAGCCTTGATGTGTGCACCATTGTGATCCTTCTTTATCCATTTGACCGCGCTCCTCAATGTTGTCATTTGCCTTGTGATGCCTAGCCATGTCTTTATCCTTGTCCAAACCTTTCCTGTAATATGGCATTCAAAATACAGGTGTGACACCGTTTCCGGTTCACCCTTACAAAAAGCACAAACATTAATCACATCGAGATATTCCAAGTTATCATACGTGGCTAGCCTATTACGGAAGGCTAACCAAGTAATGAAGGAGAACTTGGGAGGAATGTATGATTTCCATATGAAGGACATACAAAGGTGCGGAGTACCCTTAATCAGAAGCATGTCATACATCCTAGATGATGATAATTTCCCATTAATAGTTATCTTTCCAAGATGAACTAAAGCCTCATTAAGAGAGGAGAATTTAGACAAGATCAAATCACGAACCAAAGCAACCTTTTCATTAACAAGGAGTCCCTATTGTGTGGAACAAAAGTCTACACATCCCTTCCATGGAGACATACACCATGAACCCACCTAACCCAAAGTGTGTCTTTTTTGGAGTGAATATTCCAAAGGGTTCGGGATAAGAGTGCATGATTCCACACCTTTGTATCTTTTAAGCCCAAACCCCCTCATCTTTAGGTAAACACACATCATTTCATGCAACTTTAGCATGTTTACCACCCCAAAGAAAAATTCGACATATGCTAGTAATTCGGTCAAGTACTCAAGTATGGCTCTAGGGACCGGAAAAATACCAAGCCAAAAGAACTAGACTCCCTGCATGTTTGATCTAATCAACCCCACTTTACCTGCATAAGGTAGAGTCTTTGTGTTCCACACATTTATGTAATCTATCACAGTGTCCAGCAAAGGAGCAAATTGTGCAACAGATATCTTTAAAGGAGCAAGTGGGATACCCAAATACTTAACAGGAAAGGATCCTTGTTTAAAGTCCACCATATGAAGGATATAATGCAATTGGTTAGCTATATTTCCTCCTAAAAAAATATTAGACTTATCATGATTAACCATAAGTCCCGAGACTTGGCCATAGTCATCTAGAGCATCCACCAATATCTTTATAGAAGTGTAATTACGTTTTGAAAACAACATCAAGTCATCAGCATATGCTAAGTGTGATATATTTACTTTAGAGCACAAAGGATGATGGCAGAAAGTAGGAACCGAGGTCCTAATGTCCAACATCCGTGAGAGATACTCTAAACAAATAACAAATAACATTGGGGACATAGGGTCCCCTTGTCTAAGACCTCTCTTTCTCTCAAACCATCCATGGAGTACACCATTTATGGAGATTGAAAAAGAAGATGTCGTGACACATTCCATAATCTAGTTAACAAACAAGTTAGATAACCCAATCTGTCTAAGTATACTATCTAGGAAATCCCAGGATATAGTATTGTAGGCCTTCCTAAGATCAATCTTGATCATACATCTAGGAGTTACCTTTTTCCTAGCATACCCCCTCATTAACTCATGTGCAAGGAATATGTTGTCAAACATCAATCTTCCATCCACAAAAGCTCCCTGTGCAGGGTTAATAATGCCAGAAAGCTCCCAACCTAGCTGCAAGAATCTTAGTGATAATCTTATACGTCACATTTGTACAAGATATAAGTCTAAAATCGGAGACAGTAGGGGAATAGGGGAATGCTTTGTTTTAGGGATGAGGGTAACCACATTATGGTTAACCTGCCTAAGCATAGTCCCAGATACAAAGAACTCCCTTACAGCCTCACACCCATCCTGCCCAACCGTGCCCCAATTTTCTTTGAAAAAAGCAGAGGAAAAAGCAGAGAATTAGGTATGTTTGTTAATCGTCTTAATTTAAAGTCCACTTTCTATTTATTTTGCTCATTGAGTTAAAATTATTATACTGTATTAGGCACTCAAGCAGCTCCAAGGAACAAGTCTGCCTCATTGTCCTCCTGAGAGCAAGAGGCTTTTGGGTTGGAATTTTGTGAGGGTTGGTTAATATTATTGTATCATTTCATTTATTTTGAAGTATTAGAACAATTTCAATTTTGGTGAATCTAATTATTCCCAAACTACTACAAAGAGTTGATTTCTGAGTTTGTTTGCTTATTAATGAATGAAAGGCCTATTTTATAGCTTTTCAATTGCCTAAATCTGTTTTGGACCTATAAGGTATTTATTTTTATCCCTGAAGCCTCTTCACTTGTTTTGCTTGATCATATCATCTGTTAATGCTATATAGTAGACTGGAAGGAATGGTAGTGTGCATGAGATCTTATTTTTTAATTCAGTATAAACAATTGAAGCTGAAAATTTTCTTAATGTCATTTTTTCATGGTCTTTTGTATTTTACTAGCGGTCTTAGGTTGGATTGTCAAATTCCAGCATGAATACTAGATTTTGTTATATTATTATGTTCAACCCTAAAGGGTGAGCCCTTTGAATCAAGGGAGATTACCTTGTTAATATTTAGAATGTAATATCGTATTGCATTTTGTTTGTGTTTTAAGGATGTTTTTACTTGGAGTGTAATTTGTTGGTCTGGAATGGTAATGTGTGGTCTCTTTGTATTTCTATAACTATCCAAGTCTGGTGTGAACTGGTTTGGTCTAGTTTGGGACGAATTACCGTTCAAGTAAAAACATCCTAAGATAGTCCAAGTAAAAAAAGTCTGAGAATGAGTTGTTTGTAAAATGGGTTTTTGTTGTTTCTGCATTGCCATATTGATGGTGCGTTTCAATAATAAAACTTGGATGTTCATAATCTTAGTCACCTTGAATAACTGATCTATTCAATCCTAAAATATGGATGAAATCCTAAATAATTTAGTGTCGTAAGGTTGATGAATAGATGGGTGGGTTGATGGACCATATTGGATGCGGGTGGACTGTGGACATATACCACCACCCACATTTCCATCCCTACTCCAGGAAGGTGTTTTTAAAATATCTTCAAATCTAAGTGAAATGGATTCCTGTAATCTTAAGCTACTTTAGGTTGTACATTGTTTGTTTATTCTGCACTGTATACTTTGTAATTTTATCAGTTTGGCTCACACCGAGAAGCTACGACTCTACGAGTGCCGTTTACTTGTGACAATTCTGGAAAGCCCATCTCGAATTTTGAAATTTTGCATTTTTTTGAAGCCATTCTGATACTTATAAAATAATCAAGTTGTGACTTCAGAATTTACGATCACTCCTTTGAGTGTTCGTATCATCGTATGGACCGTATGATGGACCCTTTCACTTTCTCGTTTTTTTGATGACTTATGTTAAAATTCTCACTTTTAATTAGGCTTTATGTTTCGGTAGACATGTGATGTTTTAGAATTTGTAGGTATGGTTTGAATTAATTTGATTTGATAAATGTTTGGCTTTGTGTATTTTATAACTGATTCAACTGTCCATAAGAAAAGTCTGGTTGATTGAACTAGACTTGAAATTTGTCCATAAACAGCCTTATGGGAGTTATGATTATGGTCCTTATGGATGTCCATAACCAATTTTAGTCGGTTAAAAGCCTGACCGACTATACTAAAACTAGAACTGTTGAACCCACAGTCCCACACTACAAAGATCCCACTAACTTGTGTGTTATGATTACGATTAGGGGTGGACCGGGCCCGTTCCAGTTCCAGTTCGAGCCTGGGCCCAGCCGGGTTTGGATGGTTTTGGGTAAGGCCCGGGACCGGCCTGGGAGTCTATCGGTTCTTGGCCGGGCCGGTTCCGGTTTAATTTATATTTTTGTGTTTTCTCATTTATTTCAACCCCTACCCCCTCATCCCCCCACCCTCCAAATCTCTCGGAAACACCCAACCCACCTAAATCCAGCCCAAACCCAAAAAACAAAAAAAAAAGGTTTGAACCTGTTGGGCCGGGCCTAAGCCCGGTACTGGAACCGGTTTTTCGGGCCGGTCCGGTCCCGCACAGTAGCGGGCTGGGCCGGTACCGTCCGAACCGAGTCCATGCCTAGTTACTATTATATGCTGATCTGGAGTTGATCATGAATTCCTGACTAGGGTTGAAAGTTGAAACCGAGCAAATAGTCGGATCAGTTTACATGAATTTTTTGTTCTGGACTGAAACTGGTTTCAACATGTTCGAGTTGCAACTTCCAACTCTCTTAAGATCAAGACTTTTATTGTGGTTCTTGATTTTTTAAAATAGTCTAGAGGTGGAACTGATTTTGAATGGAAACCTAGACCCATTTTTGAAGTTTAGGTTCAGGTTATCTTCCCCCACTTGGAAGTTGGAACCAGAAATTGAACGAGGAAATTTCCTATATGAAATAAATAAGGATAAAGTTCGTAAATGAGATTATTCCCGTTTTATTTCAAAATAAGATTCATTCACTCTTATTTGAGAAATTTTAACCAATATATTCTTTCGAGATTAAATAAGTCTTATTTGAGGAATAAGACATATTTAATCCTATTTTTGAAATTGGGGCACATATTAGTGTTATATTGAGCAATTTTTAAAATTCAATTGACTTGGGTCCATGCCTAGTTTCAATGGTCATTATATGAAGTAGATATTTCATCAATTAATCAGTTATCAGCATTTGGTGACTTATGGTAACAAGGAATTGAAAAATGACGTTTTAGCCGACATCTTTTAGCGTTTTCAATAAGTGATAATGTTGTTTAGTAAATAGATGTCCGGCTAGACCGGCCTTAGCATTTTTTAAAGGAATCTCCGAAAGGAAAATTGGCAACGTTTTGTGTTAGCATTTTGAAATATGACATTTTTTTACTAATTGTTATGATCAAACATTTACATTAAAAAATATCTTTTTACAACCCGCAAACCCATTTCACTAGTCAAAATAATCCTCTAATATAATTTGTATAAAATAATCCTCTAATATTAAGTGTTATTGAATTCTTATCAATGTGAATTACCAAAATATTATCTTTTTATAATTTTTACTAATACATGATTAAATATAATAACAATCAAGGTTGTGCATTGACAAACGTGAAAATCAAACTGTTGCAAAAATTAGAGAACGGTGGATAGTAATTTTCTTTTCGTTGCATGCTACCCACGCTCAACGTTTATACATCTCGGGGTCTAAAGAAACCGAATCTTGTTTTTCTAAATCAACCCGGGGACGAGCAGCGGCTTTGGCCATTGAAGAAATAAAACCCTGACATGCCGAGAACAAACCGCTGAAAACCATCCTTTTTCTGTAACAAACAATGACTACCCAGAGATGAGCAGCGGCCTCAAACCCTGAGGTGGAGAACTGCGGCACCATTAATGCATTGATTATTGTTAGAATTTACTCTCAAGCATATATAAGTTACTATATCGTAGTGAATAGCACATTAATCTTTCTTTAAAAATGGCCAATAAGGTTTGCAACTATGCAATGTTTGTTGTCATATAATACACACAAATGGAGCAAAGGTTGGTTCTTGGCCCAAGCCACTTCTGGGTGTTGGGGGGCTTAATGAGAGATTTGAGCGTATGACCTCACACACAAATAACCCAACTGCGGGGCTAAAAGTAAAAAACAGCAGCCCTTTTCAGAAGAAGACCACATCTCCTGGCTGGATTACCAACTAAAGTGTCATCATCCCACTTATCTTCTTCTAGTGATGGTCTGAGGATGCCAAAACATTATGCTCCTGCAGGTGTCTTTGAAATTGAGCTAAACGGTTCTGCATCTGCAAGATTGCAGCAGCCTTCTGAGAGAGGATCGAGTTCAACCCACTTATGTAATCATCTAACTTGTTTCCTGGTCGATCTGCTTCCACTAAAAGATTCATCTCCTGAATTATTATAATATATACACACAAAAACCTATCAGGATAGCAGCATACAGTGTTTCTACTTCTACTACTACAATGTGTTATTTTACGTTCTAGCATCTTTATTATGAGATTAGAGAAAATAAATACAGTGTAAAACTAAGGATGGCGATAATGGATCAATATTCCGCACATTTCATTTATTTATTTATTTATTGAGGGAGGGGGTCTAGGAAGCGGATATATACCCTGGAACTGTGGGCCATATATGGAAAGACTAAAAGTTGTGTGAGGACCGTTCTCCTAGGATTAAAACTAATATAATCACCAAATTTTATATTATTCCATATTTATATATTGTCAGTTACCTGTCTTACGATGTCCATAGTTTCTTCTACTTGTCTCCTATGAGCATTGACGAGATCTTCCTCTTCCTAAAAGGATTCAGCAATCAGTTAGTTGTACAGAGGGCAATTGAAATATATCAATTTTCAAGCCTAAAAATCCAAACTCTACCTACCTTTAAAAGTGAATTTAAATCATCATTCTCATTCCAAACCTTAGGTTCTGTTCTAAGTGGCTCCTTCCACTTGTTTGTTTGGTCATGGTCCCTCCTTTTTTTCTCTTCTGGATTAGAAACATTGGGTGTCTCAACTTTTAAATTTTTTCTCGATGATATTTGCTTGACTTGCTCATAGAAGTCCTCCTGGTACTCATCTTTCTCTGTTTGTTCTGACCATGAATTGCCCATATTATCTTCATATGTTGATGCAGAAGGTAGCACGGTTGATTCCCTCAAATTCATAGTTGAAGACGGCACATCTTTCTTGGAGTTGTTCCCTTTCGAAAGACTCTTCACTCTGTAGTTCATAGATATTTTGTCAAATTCAAGTCAAAATGGCTGGAAAAGAAGGGGGAAACACAACAAATTATTACTCCGAATCATCTAAAAAGAGATATTAATACCTGTCTGCATATCGCAATGTGTTGAGAGTATGTTCACATGATCCAGAGTTTGGGGAAATGCAGGATATCATTACAGTTCGACTGTTTCCAACAAATGAGTCCCTTAGGACTTCAGTTAGCTTACTGCCTCTAAAGGGTATATGGCCTTGATCATTGTCAAGCGCTCTGATGCATTCCTTCAATGCTAGCAAGCTTTTGTTGATCTCTGCTCCTTCGATTCTGCATATAATGATTAGAAAACAAAACAAGAAATGAATTAGCATATGGGCTCGAATGCTCTTACTTGAGGAGGACCTAAGAGTCATATATTTTAGCATTAAGTATGTCTTTCGTCCCTGTAAATATAAATTATTTGTCAGGTCTCTCTGGTATTATTTTTTGTTACCCATCCCTGCATATTACATTTTTTTTCATTC